AAGCCATGAGGATCCAGGAAGCGTTCAGGAGATCCAGGAAGCGTTCAGGAGATCCAGGAAGCGTTCAGGAGATCCAGGAAGCGTTCAGGAGATCCAGGAAACGTTCAGGAGATCCAGGAAGCCTTCAGGAGATCTCCATTATCTCCATTCTTCATGTGGATCCAATCATCACATCTTTTTTGCTTTAACTTTATGATGAAAGTGTAACTGGATGCTGAGCTGCTTCCATCTAATTAATAATAATAATTCATATTTAAATGTGTTTCTGGTCTATTTACTTATTTATTTCACATCCATCACTAAGTTTTTATCACATGTTTCTACAGAGCAGCGATCTGAGATGTTTGGATCATGTTCTGGTCTCAGACAGCAGAACCAGAACCGAGAACATAGAGTCCAAATCCAGACCTCACACATGAAAGAAAAACACTGAATTTCTACTTTTCTGGAATCAGATTTATTTTCTGTTTTCAGAGATTTAAACTGAAGCAGTTCTGACCCCAGAACCAGATTAACCAGATAGGTTCTGAAACATGTCTGGGTTTTCCGTCGGATCCTGATTCTGGTTCCTGGAAACTCAGCCGAGCAGCGAAGCTGCATCAAGTCCAGATGTTTCTGTAGAAAACATCTGGATTCCTTTTTAAACAGCATCTCTGCAGAAACGCTGCAAACATCTTAGAAAAATGTCTTTTCCCCAAAAACGTTTTCTATAATTTAGCTGCACGATAAAAAAGGAAAACATTCTAGTAGTTAATTCAGATTTTCTATTTTTTTACACTTTTGAAATATTTTACTATCTACTGTTGGATTAAAAAGTTAATCCTGTTTTAAAATTTTAAAGGATGATTTATGAAAATCATTGGATTCTGAATCCATTTTTATGTAATAAGATCATAAAGTTGATCATAGTGATTAAAAACTTTAATGAACCAAACATGATCAGAATATCTTAGTTTATGATTAAATTCCCTTTGATCAAATATTAACTAATTAAAATTAGCAGTAGAATCTCAGATTAGAACAGATTATTCCTGTAATTTAGTCCCTGTGTGGTGAAATTAATTAAAAATTCACATTAATCCTGTCAGTTTTCAAACAGAACTAATTGGTCTGGAAGGACCTGGATTAAATCTGGATTATTTTCTATAAATGTTGAACTCAGCTTCAGTCAGATCTGATCCTCTGATGCGTTTCAGGTGTTCAAAGGTTCCTGTGTCTGGGGGGGTGGGGGGTGTAATCTGGTCTTTCACCTGAAGGGAGGGATCCTGGAGGGAACCAGGGAGGAACCGGTTCTGGACTCGTGGGCCGATCCAGATTCTGCTGAAGATGCATCCAGACCATTCAAAGCTCTGCTGGACCAGAACCGCCTCCATGTTCTGCTTCCATCTCCAGTTAAACCAGTGGCCTAGTTCCTGTCCCAGTAGCTCCCTCCTGGTTCCTCCTCCTGCAGCCGTGGAGGTTCTGAATCTCCTTCTATCCTTTAAGTGTTTCTGTTATTTCAGCTCAGAGAGGAACCATGAGGAGAACCTGAGCTTCTGATCTCCAGTGGTTCTGGTTTCACCCTCAGAATGGAGGTACCGCTCAGGCAGGCAGCAGAATGATCAACCAGAAACTGGTTGGTTTCTGATCAACGGCCAATGAACAGGATTAACTGAGCCTGGCTGTTAATCTGGACTGGATCAGGTAACCAAGATAATCCCAGTTTAATCCGCAGCTACAGTGAAACAGGCCTGATGTCCCATTATGATGAACTAATGGGTTCATCCTCACACCTGGTGTCACTTTTAATGGCCGCCGTGTGAAACCATAGAGGCGTTCCTCTCCATCAGGGGGAGGAGCTTCCATTCTGGCTCCTCCCCTTTCAGGATGAAGCTTGGAGGCCCATCAGCTCCTCTTGTTTGTGAACAAAGACGTTTTATAAAAGTTTCACCTTTTAAAAAGTTTGTTGAAAGGTAGAAAACGGACAGCAGTGACGTCACTCGGACTTAAAAACCTTCAGCATCTAAAACACGAAGAAAATGAATCAGTTTTAATCTATGAACCAAAAACTGCGATGAAATTCAGAAAATGTCGAGAAAATGCACATTTTCAGGATTTACAACAAAAATCTATCAAATCAATTAAATGTTTTACACTTTAACTTTCAAACAAATAAAAAAGATGTTTTCTTTAAAAAAAAAAAAAAAAAACAGCAACAGAAAATGTTATAAAAATAGTTTCCCTACAGACTGAAGCCAAAGGAAAAAACCCCATAAATAAATTATTTTATTTCTTAATTTGCTTTTTAATGGAATCGTTTGAAACATTTGAATTTTTCATCCTGAAATGTTTTAAATGTTCTTTACTTTGAGGATCAGCGCTTTGCTCCAAGGAGCCAAATCTGACCTTCAGCTTTTCTTCCAACAGTGACCACCAGGGGGCAGCAAAGCGCGGCCCAGTCCGTCCCAGTGAATTACAAAAATAAAATCCCAGTTATGACTTGGTGACAATTCTAGGACCTATGAAAGACTTATTTTTTTATTTATTTTATGCCTTTAAAGACTTTTAAAGGATCCACAGGAACCCTTAAAAAGATTAGATCATTTTAAATGAGTTAATTAATGATCAGTTTAGGGCTTATTTGGATGTCTGAGGCTATTAACTAAACAAAACATTTATTTGAATAAACTCATTTTTAACTCAAAGTTTTTCATTGGATTATTTAAAATTCCTGAAGATAAAATCTAAAAAAGGGGATTAATCACGTTTCTTTGCTTCTTTGAAGCCAAAATAACGTTTTATCGGTTTAAAGTTGTTTTTAGTTTTGCTAGAAAATGAATCAAAGTATTAGGCTTTATTTAATTAAAATTTTATTTTGAATATTTAAACAGTTATTTATCTATTCTTCCAGTATTTTTTCACACCAAGAAAAAACAAAAACAGAAGGAGGATCGTTTCATGTTTTAGGATTTTCATTTCTCTGCTTCTTTGCTTTTTTTACAATCATAACTTTACAGAACATTCTCTCCTAAACCTTTAATAATAAATACATCAGCCGTTCGTTTCCATGGTGACCGTGCACAGCAGGGCCATCGAGCTTCAGCTGAAGCTCGGAGCAGAAGAAGAAACGATGAATCGATTCTCAGAAATGAAAGGACCTCAGAAAACGACAACAGGAAGTGGAAAAGCAATAAAAAAAAGAAAAGCAAATTCTGATCATTCAACACAAAAAAAAAAAAATACTGTTTCCCTTTTTGATGCTCCGGGTCTGAAAAGTTCTGCTTGGTCCGTTTTGTTCTGATTCGGCTGAAAAATGAAGATTTGGACAAAAAAAAACAAAACAAAGAAAAATGAGCAAAAACAAGGAGAACGTAACCATGGCAACGCACCCGCTCCTCTTCTTCACCCACATCATGTTCTTCCTCAGTGTAGATCTAAACCAGCTGCAGGGAAACATTCAGAAATCATTTTTGCTGCATCTGGTTGGTCCAAAACCAGCGAATCAGAGCGCAGAGCAGCCGTCACATGACCGCTGGAAGCAGGACGAGACTTTAGAGGTTCTAATAAATACTAAGATGGTCCGTCTCAGGGTGGAACCGATCCGGAGAAGGCAGCAGGTCAGGTTCTGGGCCCACCAGTGGGCCGGTTCACTTATATACACATGGGACCCAGCTGGGGGGGTGGGGGGTTATTGCTGTGTTCTGGAAGCTTCTCATTGGTCGAAGCTAAAGGCGTCTGAAGCTACTTCAAGTCAGTCAGGAGGAGAGCTGAGGAAGGAGCGGTCCGACCGGGACCCGATTCTGATTGGGGGGGGCTCAGGTCTCAGACGGGGGCTCTGCCAGGGAGTCGGGGGGGTCCTGCAGCTCCGGTACCTCGATGTTTCTGTGGAGTTTCTCCAGAGAATGCTTCATCTGTGGAGCAAACAGAAGCGATGAGCCGCCGCCTGCGGGACAGAGCGTCCTCTGGAGCAGAGAGGGACTCACCTGGTCCAGGAGGGACACGGAGGACTGCAGGATCTGCTGCCACTTGCTGAGCTGGGCCTGGTGGAACTGCCTCTGGAGGTGGAGGACCTGGGCCCACTCCCCGGCCGTCTGGGGCAGAGGACTGACGAGAGAACGGTGCCACGTTAGAACTGTCCAAGGTTCTGATCCAATCCTCAACCTTAAAGCTGCGGATCCTCCTTAAACTTTACTGTCCAACAAAACAGGGGAAGCTACAAGCTAAAACCGCTAGGCTAAGCTGAGCTAGGCCATCCAACCGTAGCTAAGCTAACATGACATCAGCCAGGCTAAACATAGCTAGGCCAACCACCCATAGCTAAGCTAACATGAAATCAGCTAGGCTAAGAACCCATAGCTAAGCTAACATGACATCAGCTAGGCTAAGCACCCATAGCTAAGCTAAAACCACATCAGCTAGGCTAAACTGAGCTTGGCTAACCGCCCATAGCTAAGCTAACATGACATCAGCTAGGCTAAGCACCCATAGCTAGGCTAACATGACATCAGCTAGGCTAAGCACCCATAGCTAAGCTAACATGACATCAGCTAGGCTAAGCACCCATAGCTAAGCTAACATGACATCAGCTAGGCTAAACTAACTCAAAGCTAAAACATCCTGAAATTTTGACCAAGAAAAGAGCAAAAGGTTGANAAACAAAACAAAGAAAAATGAGCAAAAACAAGGAGAACGTAACCATGGCAACGCACCCGCTCCTCTTCTTCACCCACATCATGTTCTTCCTCAGTGTAGATCTAAACCAGCTGCAGGGAAACATTCAGAAATCATTTTTGCTGCATCTGGTTGGTCCAAAACCAGCGAATCAGAGCGCAGAGCAGCCGTCACATGACCGCTGGAAGCAGGACGAGACTTTAGAGGTTCTAATAAATACTAAGATGGTCCGTCTCAGGGTGGAACCGATCCGGAGAAGGCAGCAGGTCAGGTTCTGGGCCCACCAGTGGGCCGGTTCACTTATATACACATGGGACCCAGCTGGGGGGGTGGGGGGTTATTGCTGTGTTCTGGAAGCTTCTCATTGGTCGAAGCTAAAGGCGTCTGAAGCTACTTCAAGTCAGTCAGGAGGAGAGCTGAGGAAGGAGCGGTCCGACCGGGACCCGATTCTGATTGGGGGGGGCTCAGGTCTCAGACGGGGGCTCTGCCAGGGAGTCGGGGGGGTCCTGCAGCTCCGGTACCTCGATGTTTCTGTGGAGTTTCTCCAGAGAATGCTTCATCTGTGGAGCAAACAGAAGCGATGAGCCGCCGGCTGCGGGACAGAGCGTCCTCTGGAGCAGAGAGGGACTCACCTGGTCCAGGAGGGACACGGAGGACTGCAGGATCTGCTGCCACTTGCTGAGCTGGGCCTGGTGGAACTGCCTCTGGAGGTGGAGGACCTGGGCCCACTCCCCGGCCGTCTGGGGCAGAGGACTGACGAGAGAACGGCGCCACGTTAGAACTGTCCAAGGTTCTGATCCAATCCTCAACCTTAAAGCTGCGGATCCTCCTTAAACTTTACTGTCCAACAAAACAGAGGAAGCTACAAGCTAAACCCGCTAGGCTAAACTGAGATAGGCCAACCAACCGTAGCTAAGCCAACATGACATCAGCTAGGCTAAGAACCCATAGCTAAGCTAACATGACATCAGCTAGGCTAAGCACCCATAGCTAGGCTAACATGACATCAGCTAGGCTAAGCACCCATAGCTAAGCTAACATGACATCAGCTAGGCTAAGCACCCATAGCTAAGCTAACATGACATCAGCTAGGCTAAACTAACTCAAAGCTAAAACATCCTGAAATTTTGACCAAGAAAAGAGCAAAAGGTTGAAATCTGCATCATTTCTCTCATCAACGCATCGTTTTATAGAATCGTGTAAAAAAGAATTAATTTGGAAAACCAGTTTTCATTTTCTAATCCTTTTCTTCATATCGATATAACTTTTATTTTATCTTCTGAAATGTTGTAATCAGACGAACTTCAGATGTTAGGAGCCATTAACTGCTCCGTCCTGCTGTAGATCTTCTTTACTCAGATACTGTCTTTCAGTTGGGTTTATTCTTTAGCTCCTATAAGAACAACTAATATGTGTAGGTCTGCAACTAACGATTATTTTTCTAATCAGTAATTGTGTTGATTATTTTATGGATTAATCCATAAAGGATCATTAATCAGCCGAAGGAAATGAAACCAAATGAAACCAGAACTTTTCCACTTGAGTTCTGGATTATAGAGCAGATAGACGGAAATGTTGTTTTTTAATTAAATGTAAAATATTTCCATATTTTTAAAAACCTTGGTGTAATTGCTGCTCTAAGCGGGTCGCTCTGTCAGCTAAAGACAAGTTTTAGAGTCTCTTTACTCTAGTTCAACATTTCTAATTTAAAACCAGGCTTTGTTGGGCTGCTGGATAAAACCTGGAACTAAACGCTATTTCTGACATTTTGAGCTGAAAAATCTTCCTGGATGGAAGAGAAACGTCTTCAAACTTGGAAACAAAGTCCAGTGGATTGATTTTATCTTTTTAGGAATGATTATAACCTGGATGACTGAGGATCTCCAGCAGCAGACGGAAGGAATCAGTTCATCCTAAATGATTAAAGTTGATTAAAAGGAGGAAAAGGCTTCATTCAGCTGGAAAACACGGAATATTAACCGCTTCTGCTACAAAATGAACAAATAACTGAACTTAATAACGATTAATCTGATTATTTCACTCCTGAATATTTGTTAAACTCTTAAATAAATGATCTAGAACTGATCAGAGCTTCTAGTTTTGCTTCCGAGGATCTTTTAGTCTTTTAAAATCATTTTCAGCTGCAAGCTGCTCAGTCTGCTCAAACTCTTTTTAGAAGCTTTTAAACCCTAAAAGAATCAAAGGAGATTTTAGGGGAAATGTTTGGTTAATGGATCAGAAACCAGTGAAGAAGAAGTCCGGCGTTGACTGGGAGGCGAGGAGGCGGAGTCTACCTGTCAGCCACAGAGTAGGAGTGCCACCTCTCCAGGGTGTGAGCCGCTTTCTCCAGAGCGTAGAGCTTGTAGAACAGCAGCATGTTGAGGACGACCAGCACCACCAGGCTGAGGGTTCACAGACAGACGGCCGTCAGCGGCGACCAGAGGAAAACAGGAACATCAGGATGACGGGCAACAAATACAACCACAGAGATGAAGGCATGAGAACAATCCACCGCCACCATCATCATCATCATCATCATCAGACAGCATTTAGCTTCCCTGCAGCCTGAATCAAAGCAGCTGAGGTCCAGGTCCGGTTCTGATGTTCTACCATCATGTCTATCTGATAGAAACCAGCAGCGCCTCCTCCGACCTGGACCTCAGCCAAGGCGGCCATGTTGGACCTGGACCTCAGCCAAGGCGGCCATGTTGGACCTGAGGCCTCAGACTGACTGAAACGGTGGATTTTTCTCATTTTCAAACGTCTTTCATTCACATCCAGAGAAACGAAGCTCTGCATACCAACCTGATACAGATCCTACGCAGACGCAGGGGGAGAGAAACGGGGAGAAACGCGTCTGTTAGTCTGATTATGGGGGGGGGAGGGGGTCTCAGCAAACTGAAGAATCAGTGATAAAAACCCAAAAGTTCAGTTTCTCAGAAAAGTTTTGGTCTAAATTCAAACGGCCGGGAAAGTTGAGTGGAAGGAAAAACTAGAGAAGGACTGGATTCAGATCACAACCGAGCCCAGTCCTCTAGATGGGTCCGATTTAATGATTTCCATTTCTGAGAAACTGATCTTTATGCAGACAGTTTCATTACTGAGATGTTCTGACCCAATAGAACCTTCAGGGGAAACAGAACTGAGGTGAGAAAGGAAGCTGGACTCACATGAAGCTGACGATGAGGAGGATGGTGGAGATGCTGGTGGGTCCTCCACCGCGAGAGCGATCGCCCAGTTTCATGAACTGAGAGCCTGGAAACAGAACCGAACCAATCAGAACCAATCAGAACTAATCAGAACCAATCAGAACCCCCTCATGCCTCCAGCTCTGATCCTGATCCTTTGCTTCCAAACATCTTTGACTTTTTTCAGCTCGGAGGATTTTTTATTAATCAGACGAACAGAAAGAAGTTTTAAAAATGACTGAACTTCCATCCGGCCACCAGAGGGCAGCAGAGCTGCTGCTGACTTACTGGTCTCCCTTCGGTTCCGCTCCTCTCCTGCTCCTCGCTCTCCTCGCTCTCCGCCCTCAGCGCCGCCTCCCTCCCTCTCGCTCTGCCTCCTGGAGCAGGTGCGTTTTCGCCGACGCAGGGAGGGCGGGGTCTTTGCGGCGTCCGGACCCGCATCCTCGCCTGTGGTTACCACGGAAACCTCAGTCTGCAGCAGGGTCTCCAGCTTGCAGACTTCGCCCTCTGTGTGTCAGAAGAGGAAGGAG